TGACCCGAGTCTCTGCCCACTAGGTTTGAGAGCACTGTGCAGGTTGGCAAACTGCAGGACCTCATCAACCGGAGTAAGATGGCGAGGTGTAGAGGACGCTTTGTTTGCCCTGTCATTCTGTACAAGGGAAAGGTAAAGCTTCGTGGGTCTTTACTTACCTGTCTTTACTTAGAAAATTACCTTCCTCCCTGATGTATGAACTGCATGTCCACGTCTTCAGTCAGTTGCCACCTTTCCAAAGGTTGTAAAAATCTGTGCTTAGGTACAAGCAGGCAGCCTGTAGCAGCAGGTAGCATCTGCTGTCTAGGCTGCATAAGTCATCTGTGGGGACTTTGGGCTATTTTCCCCCACCAAGTCATGAGCCTTGCACCAAAGAGCTAAGATTTTTTTCTCCATGTCTATGTCCCTTCTGAAGGACTAAAGATGTTTGATGTTTGGGAGGGGAAAGATAATTATTTCCCTTTCAGCCCCTTACACTTCCCAGCAGTGAGCTTTCTTTGAATAACTTTTCTATCTAGAAAGATGCTTCCATTGCCTGTTCCCTGGAGAAGCAAGATTGCAAAAATGGTCTTATGAATGTGTGGGCTTCCTTGCAAGGGGATCTGTAAGAAAGTGAAATTAGATTCATTTTTATGTGAATTACTTAAGCTGTGAATGAATGGCCAGTCTCTTCGCGAACGAAGAACCGGGGAAGGTCTTTACACCTTCCAGCCTGCGCATTGGATTTTTTAGGTGAGACACAGTGTGCACGGAACTGAGCCCACCCTTTAATCCTGAGGTTCATCTGCTGGGGCCAAGCACGCTTGGACGGTGGCAGTGAGGTCCTCAGGACGTAGATGGATTGCCTTACAGGGCTAGCGAGCTCCATCTGCCCGGGGAGTGTCCTAACCGGGAATCAAACCCAGATCTCAGCGTTGACAACGCTGTGGTTTAGCCACTGCACCACCAGGGACACTCCACTTAAACTGTATGGAAGCCCTGTAGGAATAGTCTCATATAGAATTTAAGTAGCTTAATTCAGTTTTCTTATTTCAATTTAGAAACACTGTGTGAGTAGCAAAATCATACCTGTGACAATTTTAATCTAGCTTGACTGATGCCACTGTGGGCTGCATCTGCTGACCTTTTTCTGCAGGAGTGAACTGCCCAGAGTTCCGTAACCTCATCCAGAGGAATGTGGAAAAAAGGCTCAAGCAGGGTATTAACAGAGCTTGGATGTTGCTAACTTGGCAGGAACTGACTGTATTAGTGAATTGGAGATCTGGAGATGAAAATGTGATTTTATAACTAGCTACAGATAAAGGCACTTGGGATTCTGATGTGTTCAGAGAACTCTATCTGGACCGGGGTGGAGGGGAGACTGCAGAGAGGCGATAGCTGTAAGTGCCAACCTTTCTGCATAACATGTCAGCAAATAGGCCAGAGACCTGATAAGGGAAAGACTTTGTGGTTAATAAAAAAATCTTCCTCCAGCACATCTGCAGATCAGCAACGCTGGCCGGCTGGGGAGAGCTCTATGGGCGCACTGGCTACAACTATATCTTCTCAGGTGAGTGAGGGGACAAATGGCCCATTTGTCACTGTCTGCCTGGTCAGGCTGGTCAGTGCTGCCCTACACAAAGCAAGCTCTTCCCAAGAGTTGGTGCAGAGCTCTAGCATGGACCTGCTTGTATCAGGCCCTTGCATAACAGCAAAGACTGAAACCTTATGTCCCGTTTACAAGCACGGTGCTGCAGGACAGAGCACCACAGCCCATGAAAAACAGTGACCAAAGAACTGAAGCGTGAGTTACAGGAAGCGTGTAGGCAAGTAAGGCATCCCAAAGGATTCAGGGCACTGATTCTCAAACATTGGGGATGGGAGTAATGGAAGAAAGAGGATTAGAATTTGCTGTTCCCTGACTAATCATTGGGAATGAAATCCTGCTAATGGTGAGATACACTGAACTCCAGGAAAAACTCTTTAGGGGAGTAGTGTGTGTCTGTAGTGTGGGAGCTTGGCTTGTTAAGCTTGGCTTAACAAAGCACTGTGTAACATTTTTGGGGTGTACTCTGGCTGTCAGTAATGGATTTGACCTGCCTAGGTACTTTGCAGTGACAAGGAAGAGTGGACTACATCAGAAAACAGGCTTTTCAGGAAGAGGAAATGTGGAGAACTATTGGGAGCTCTTGGGTGTGAAGAGAAGACACCAAACAACCACCTTTTCATATGTGTACATATTTTGTCAGATTGGGGATTGAGATGGTTTACACGACCTTCAGTTCTTATTGCCTTGCTTGCAGGAGGTTCTGATGATGCTTGGGCAGATGCGGAAGATATTTCTGAGGAAGATCCTGCGCTTAGGTTTGTATGCATCACTGGGATAGGGAAAAGGGAGTTTGGACATAAGCTGACTGGCTCAGCCACTCAGTTCTGTTCTCTTCTGGGCTTTGGGCATGGGCTTGAGACCATCACCACCTTTTGAAAGAGTCTCGAATTCTAACATCTGGCTGAACCCGGTGTAACTGAAGCCTGCTAATCTATTGCCAGAGGGAAAGGCTGGA